GTTAATGGCGTGTGAATCCCATGAATCGTGACCGTTTAGCGGTCGACTTCAATAGAAACCAGTCCGTCTAGTTAGTCGTCAACGTTGATTCTTTTTACCGAATACTTGTCCATGGAACTTAATAAAATTATAATTTTTTTGCAATTATAAAATAATTGTAATATAAGTAATACTTCTCGCGCCATAAACTTCAGTGGTCAGAAAACGTGTTAACGATTTTCGAAATTGTTTCCTTAAAATATAGATAAATAATCTATCAACATCGTGTCATCTAAGAAAAATTTAATTTTCAAGGATGAAAGTATCAGAAAACAAAAGCAATTCACGATCGGATGCCTGAGAATCAGGCAAAAAGAATGGATCCCTTGTTACGTAATTTTAAGTTCACGCGAGAACACAAAAGGTAGAAAGTTAAACGCTTCTCGAATAACACGAAGTAAGCAACGTAACCCTTCCATCCCTTCTGGTTCCCAGAGCAGAAAAAACAACGAACAGTTATGTAAAGAACGGAAATCCTTCGCCTGAACCTAACTAAGAGACATTCGAGTCCAGTTTTAGGTTACTGTCCTGTAAGTTGATCAACGTGTGAGGAGCAAACAGGGTGGAATATAATTTCACATGGAAAGCATCAAAATATCAAAACACTGCAGTAAATTATTCGAATTATTATAAATTTGCAATAGACGAACGACGCATAGAAATTTTGTTTAATTTAAATAAAAATTCGTCGGTGGATTGTTCGTTTACACTCTGCCAGCTCGTGGTTCACCTTTTTCATGAATACCGCAGAAACAGGTTCACCTTTGACCCCTAGCTGACATCAAAAGCGTAATTAATCCTTCAAAGTTCAAAGCAGGCGGATCCCTCGGTGTGATCCGCGGAAATAACGATAGCCAACGAAAAAAAGAGGATAAAAAGGTGGAAATAAAAAGCAACCTGCGGTTTTTGCGTTATTTTGGTGCAAAAGCAGCTTCTCCAATCACAAAAAGCAACCACCGTGTGTTTCTAAATAACGAATACCGTCTGGATGGTTGATGATAAATTCAAAGAGCTTAGAACTCGAGCACTTCTAATTAGAACTCGTGCAACTTGTGCTGGTACTCATTTTTTACTTTCGCTCTTTGTTCACGAGTTAATTTCTTTTTCTTTCGCAGATGTGTCAAATGAATTATAATGTTCGTAAATAGAATTTTCAATTTAACGTCACCATGTAACTCTAAATATCACTCAAAATTAAAACTACATACTTCCTTTTTATAATACTCCCTCTAACGATGACTAAAGTTTCCCTCAAAGTTAACTGGAAAAGATTCTCTTATCGAATTTCCGTCGTTCCATTAATCCTCCTGTCCGAGTTTTCCAGGGAGGAAGAAAATTTTCTCGAGTCTAGTCGCTAGACTATTCCGGATGATCTATTAAAAGAAATTCTACGAGAGACTGGAGTTGCTCCTCCTCGGTGCATTGTCCCTCGAAGAGACGTAGTACCTCTCTAATGGGGAGAAGAAATTCTTGGTTGTTCGCCAAAAATCCACGGAACGTGGAAGGAAAATTCTCTCACGAATTCTCCATGATTCAAATTTTTCATGATTTCCTTAATGAAAAAAATTACGATGAAGTAGGAGGTGTTTGAATTCTTAACGCTACGATGATAGCAGAATCGTTTTACATTTTATAAGAACTTCGGTAATTCTCTGAATGTTAACGCAAACCGTGCGATATTTTATTCAACAAAGAATTTGATTTTTCGACTAGCCGGCAGAAAGCAAGGAAAGAATGTCAGGATCGTAAATTCGTGACCGCTTCTTGTCACGGTCAGCCAAGCGAGTTTTGCATCGCGATCTTATCGTTCAACTCTTTGTGTGCCATTATGCGGTAGGTGGTGTGATGTGTTCGAGTCCGAACGATGCTTTAGGAATCATCTTTGATTATGGGAGAATCGAGGAAGGTAATGGTCCTGGTAAACGCGTTAATGAGCAGCATGATTCACGCTTCTCAAGCGTAACAGTCAGATAAGATATTGTAAATTTTTTCTTTTTCTGTAGTACGCCATTGAATTATTTATTGAAGATAAGGAAGAGGAAATAATTCTGTGTTTGATAAATTGAATTTTGTTTAATTTATTAAAATATCGTGTTACATGGTCCAATTTATATCAAAGTCCAATGGTAACGGTTGAATAGTAAAAGCTGCTTCTTCGTATGTTACGCAATGGGTGGTCCCATTGAATTGGGTCATTTATGAACGAATGAACGATATCTGTTGCAGCCGAAAATCGCCTCGACGTCGCGTCGGTAGCTTCTAAACGCTGCGTTACGTCACGCGACGGAATGCAAGAGGTCGACCTTGCGAACCGCACAATCGCGCATTGTGCACGCTGAATGGTTCACGATTCCACCAACCTTGACTCTCCCTTGATTCCATCCTCACCATAGCGAATTCAATTGATTCACGCCGAATGTCCTCCGGTTAATTTCCAATTAAATTCAGGCTAATTCCAAAATCATTTTCCCTCAGCTATTTAAACATTCTTTTATATTATTAGAACTAATAAACGGAGGGTCTTCGGCTCCCGAGACCAGAATTCAAGTCCTTTCCTTTTTCTCCCCAAAAACACAAAAATATAGAATCGTTCCGCCGCGCTTCCTCTCTTCTACTTCGCTAACGCGCCTATGTCTAACAATATCCATATCAAAATAAAAAATTCCTCTACGTATCTAACGATCAATCTCTGTTGACCAACCCCCAACAGCGTTTCGGTCTAACAAGCTACGAAAAAAAAAATCACTCGATGAACAATCAAGACGTATCAATTCAGACCACCAGCCGTTCCATTTTCTTTCAAAAGCTTCCCATTACACGCCCCGCTAATGGATCACGGTAGTAGAACCCTTCCTCCCTTATTGTACCCCTGGCAACGTTCGAAACGGACCGAAATCCCTGGATCGATGGAATTTAGGGTGGTGCGATCGGCGATTAGGGAGAAAAGGGTTCGCAGTATCATTAATAAATGGTAACTCCTCGCTCGCGTGATCGCGTCGTTAGCGAGAAATACAAGTTGTACCCACGTTTCAATTTCAATTCATTCGGCGAGCTCTTTGTGAGTCGCCTTCGTGTTGCGCTCTCCGAATGCCGGGACAAAAGATGCGTTTTCTCGCTGCACGGGGTGCCATGCCGGTGCAGCTGCAGCTCGGTTCGCCGTATCCGCCGCGATGGAAAAGGCTTCGTCAGCCGCGAACTGCTGCCCTTTCTGCCCGGCCAATTAACTATTCATACTCGATTCGCGACGATGTGTCCTCGAGCAGGCGAGGGCGTCCCGTTTGTACCGCTCGCGACTTCTTCGATCTTTCGCTCTTTCGTCACACGAATTCATGTCAAAGGGTATTGATCGAATGGCATGTTGTTCGAACCCGTTCTTTATTTCTTCATTGTGTTCAGGTTTCTCTTTCATTCGGAGATTTCAGAGTAATTGTTTAGAAGAAAGGATATTGTACTTACGATTTGTATTGAATTTTTGAGATTCGTGAATTGGCATTCTGATTTTTAAACGAAGCTAAGCTAAATTCAATATAATTCTATCAGGCATGCAATGGCACTGATTAGAATTTATTTGAATTTATTTACAAAATGCAAATCGACGTAACACGTGACCTCAGACCGTCCGATTCAGGAAAGAAGAAAAAGAAGAAGAGGTGCACCGGTAGGACATCCTGTTCGTCTCCTTTCTTGTTAACAGTTACAGAAGAAGTAAGTGCCCCTTTTGTTCGCTATTTTTCCTCGAACTCCATTGAATTTGTGTCACAGGTCGTCGTCGGGGAATGCGTCTATTCAGTCTCGACACGTGCGTCTTTCTTTTACCGCTTCGTGTTTCGTGGTATACACGAGACACGTTCAGGGACTAGTTTTCATGGATTTCGATCCATGGAAGTCCAGTTACAACCGGTCGCATTCTGTTTTTTTTTTTATAAACGGTGTTATTCTTAATTAAGAAAACGGAACCGACCACCAATTTGGCTGCAAATATCAAAGCCATACTCTTGGTCGAGAATCGTTCACCCGCTGCGAGTGCAGCTTGAAATTAATTGAAATAAATTCGAGAATAAAGAAGGCTCTGCCGGGGATCGTTAACCATGAAGAAAGTGAGGAATCTTTGTTGTCCTGAGCCTGGTCAGAAGCTGAGTAACGATGAGGAAAGAGTCAGAGTAACTCTGTTGTGCCAAGAGAAGCGTTTAAACCGCTGACCATGAACAGGAGAGGTCGAGAGGAAAGGTCTTGGGGGTCCTATGGAACCGCTTTGCAAGCGCGTTAATTACACGGCTCCTTTCTTCTCTCCCTTAGTTGATTTCCGTTGCCGGAAACGTCCGTGGCGGCAAGCAGAGAGCTTGAAAACGCTGCTCGAGAACTCGTGTCGAGTGGTTAGTTCGAACTAAATGGAGAGAACCGTGTTAAGGTACTTCGTGAATGACTTTTTCAATTAATCAAGCTATGTAATGGAGCTTTGAAACGTTTACCGATGTTTGTTATTTCTTTAGGGGTTGAACCCTAATCTTAGTACGTTCATTGAGTGATACACTGGTTTTTGAAGCCATTTTCTATTGAGAGACTAATGAAATCATTTTTGGGTAATTATTTAAATTAATTCTTAGCATTTTCTTTTATGAATTGCAAATAAAAAATAATAATAGAATTAAATTTATTTCTGGCTCTCTCCATAGTCCGCCATCCGAGAGTTAAAAAGGAAACATCGTTCAAATCTAAAATTGTTTAATAAAAATGAATCAAAGATAAATGGTCGATTTTAGTATGAATTTTGGAAAGCTAATGCAGACAGGTTTATTTCTGTAACAATGTTTCAGTTTACTTGGCTCGTTGCCAATTACCATTCGTACTCGAAACGAGATACGATAATTAACGTGACCATTTACCCCCCAACTCGAACCGGAAACGCCCACTCTTTGAATTACCATGTGCTGAATTATAAATGTTCCAAATGTATGTTTCAGACACGTCCTACGAGAAGGCCTGTCGAAGGGGTAGCGCACCGGCCACCCCTGTCCTCGGAGCACGACCCTTGGACGTCACCCCCAACAGAATCGTCGTAAGTAGATTTCATTCGTAACCCTTATGGGTCCCTGTAATTTTCATTCAACTGTAATTTGCGATCTTTCGTAAATGCAGCCCTTTGCGACTAACGGTATTGTACGAAAACGAAACCGTTTTTAAGGGTAGTCGAAGGGTGCCCTTTTTCTTTCTTTTTTTTATAAAAGTTACAATTGGGGTTATTATTTTCACGTGGTATGTACATATATTTACATAAACAAATGGATTTTAGTTAGCTTCTCAAGATGCAAATGTCTGGAAATTTGGTAAATTAGCATATTTTAATTAACACTGGAAACGAGTTAATTTGCATTAGCAAATTTATGAATGTTACCTTTTAAATATTAACACGCAACCATAACGAGTTATTAATGAATTTCTTTTTTATAAAAATTTAATTTTGTATACGCGATCGATTATCTGGAATTTTCGAGCGTCTGATGAAACGGGCGTTAATCGACGAACAATCCTGGCAGAGTAATTATTTTATCGCGTGTCGGGCTCGCAATTAACGTAAAGCCTTTCTTGTTCGCGCGGCGAAGAAGAGATCTCAGGCATGCAATCTCGAGGCAGATCCTTATCACGGGAAATACTTTCAACGAATCTGTCAGCGCTACGCGAAACTGCATTAGACTTGCAGATTAGATCTGACTCGAGCCTCGAGCTGACGATAGGGGACTGACTTTCTTCGGGATCCATCGTTTCTGCTCCGTTGCAACGTGTCTCGTGACACTAGAGGATTTGATCTGCTCAAAATTTAAATTTAAAAAAAAAATTTTTCTATGCATTTATTATACGCAAATCCAGAGAAAATTGCATTCGATAGAAATTGAATAAATTAAAGAAAATTTTGGGGATAAATTTATTTAAAAATGAAAAAGTACACAACGAAGGTATCTTTTATAAAATCTATTATTTAAATATTCGTTACAATGAAATTCTTTTGTTGAAAAGAATGAATGGAAGAACGATGTTAAGTTTCCTCACGTATGTTAAAGATCTCTCAGAACCGTCGAAAGATAAATCCGGGTAGTTGAGTTCATTGTTGTAGCTTACATTGAACGCTTCCGGTTTAAAACACCGAGCTACGTTCGAGTAGCATTTCGTTTTCGAAGCACGAGAATGGAAACTTTGACTTGCCGATCACGTATCTTCGATCTTTCGAATCTTTCGGTGCATCGAGTCGTTAAGTTGCAGTTGCGATGCACCTTTCCCTTTATTTCCAACAAACAGGGTGTACCTTTCAGCGTGTCACGTATTTTGTGTTTTTCTTTCGTTCTTCGAACTTTCGACTTGCTCGTACGACGTTGGAAATTTTGATGGAACTTCTTTAGTTGGTTACCATGATTTGATTTATATCAAAGTGTAGGATTACTATGAAGTTTTGAGGCATAGAAAGTTTGACATGATTTCATTACATAAAAGTATCTCAAAATAGCAGTTGTGGCATATCAAATGAAAAGATAAGGCTTAAGGAAAATTACTACGTTAACGTTTTGTTAATATTCTTCGCACAAAATTGATGGTTCGTCTTTGTAACAAACAGTGAATGAACCAAGTTAGAGTTTGATCGATTTCAAGATTTAGCTATGTCGCATTAAGAAAATCAACGAAATACGTATACAGTGATTTTTATTACATTTTAAGCTTTAAATTGACATACCGTAAATAATATTCTGTGATACTTTTATGTCATCAATTTTCATTAGACTTTCTATATTTCAAAATAGGTCACCCTTTGATATAATCGACGATCCGCCATTTTGTATTAAGAATATTTATGAAATTCTTATGTAGCCATTTTCTTCGAACTTTAAACTTTAAATTGACACGCCGTATGTGCCATTTTGTCGTACTTTTATGTCATCAAATTTCTCCTAAACGTCAACTTTACACCAACTTCTGTAAAAATGCATCGATGCACTTGGTTCGATTGCATCAACCGTTCAATCTATGCAACTTTCCATCAAGTCGTGGTCGTGTTAACATTTAAACGAGCCAAGTCTGGTCGCAATTTCTCCTGCGATCCCGTAGACGAGCCTCTTCTGTTCTCGCGTTGGACGTCACCTTTGCCCTTCGCTTCAATTTCGTTGCGTAAACCGACACGTTCCCTTCCAAGGGTGGATGCAAAAGCGAACGAGGCTGTATGGAAAATATCGACCCAGTGTCGCGGTTGCAGGTGTTCTCAAATCTCACTCGGTGGATTGCTTTTGGGAACGTGTGTCGATTTACCCGTCGATGAACACAGGCGGGGGTGTATAAAGTTACCATCAGATACAAGTTACTTGCCTGCTGTTTTTCCAATGAAACTGGTACACTTCCTCGGTTACATCATCCCTTATAAAAGGAGCAGAATAACTTCTTCATACAAAAAAAAAGAAAGCAGAGCAAAATATTTATGATTTTGTAGAATTTCCATCCTAGTTTCGGGTCCTCTTCGTATAATACAGTTTCTGATTTTTTACTTTTATTACACGAAGAGTAATTTGTATAAAATTTATTATTTTTATTCATTTTATAAAGGGACAAGTTGGTGCCTCCGTTTGAGGTGTACTGTGGATAAGATAAGGTAACACATCATTATCTCAGGCAGTAATAACGATTTATTAGCACCTATTTGCAAGGTTAATCAAAATTCTGACGAATCTGTTGATTGATTAAATCTTGACAAGGTATTGTTTAATCAGTATTCACGGTTGTTGATAAAGCTTCGCTTATTAATGTTTGAATAACAAATATTTGGAGCTTCTTTCTCTCTCTCTCTCTGTCTCTTTGCAAACTACATCTGCAAACTTTGAAGATGTCTCCGTGAACAGGGAACTCGAAGTACTAGGATACTTTAACTCTTTGTCGAGGATAAGTTAGCGCACACCTTTTGAAGGAACAAAGGAAAAAACGGACTGGTTTTTTAACGGATAGGGTATACTTCACGGAAGGATCCGGTTAAAATGCGCCTTACTATCTCGAATCGTTTACGGAATTCCTGTTGTGATGAATGAGAAGGAGTAAAAAGAAGCGTGACTCTTGGAATTTATCAAGTATGCTAGATATCCATGGAAAAACTGAGCAGAGTTGTCTTATCGAATTCCTTTTCTGTCATGGTTGTGCGGTTGATACGTTTGCCAATGCTTTTTCAAATTCTTTGTTTTATTTAACCATTGATCGACGGAGCCTGGGTCAATCGTGACCCAAAATTACAAAATATATTACAAAGACATTAATTTAAAAGAGAATAATTTTCCGAAGAACAAAATGTAGAAAATTTAAATAATGTAAAGTGCAAAATTAAATTAAAATTGGGCTTCTCTCCGTGGTCCGCCGTCCGAGGTATAATATCCTCTCTTTGTAACAAACAATTGATAAGGACGACTAGCATTTTCAATTACCACTGAAAATTGAATTTTATAGATTTTGATTAGTAAGGCTGTGATCTTGAAGAACAATGGGTACTATTACAATCAAAATAAGAAATATGAATGCAAAGTCTGACCATTTATTTTGCTCGATTTTCTCATTTGCAAAATGAGAAAAAGAAAATATATGTGTCATGATGAAGTAAGAGTAAAGAGTCAGCAATGATCTCAGGGGACTGGAGGGAATCTCGGTATGATTTCTTGTATCTGCAAGCCAGATTGGTCACAGTGGATCCCCAGCTGCGTAATCGAGAAGATTGAGAACCCCTCGAAGACGTTTTTGTCCTTCTTACCGGTGGCAACGACGGAGTAGAGGGGCTGAGAGGCCAAGGGGTGACCCGTTTTGCCTCACCTGAATGCAGGGGCAGGGTTTTTGGTCGTGGTACAAAGGTGCGCCCCAAGGATCCCTTGACTTCGCCTACCCGGATGAGCAACATCTGCGCCAGTCGACGACGAGATTTTGCCGCGAAATCATCTGCTCACCGCGAAATCTCACCGATTCTCGAGTACTCTTCAACGCTTTCCTTCGTGCAACTTTCCGAATCCCGATTTCGATCGTTCTGATATCAAACGTTTCTTAACAGTGATTCTTCTTCTTCCTTTCCTTTCGTTGTAAAACATTTTCAGATTGATGAGGAAAAGGTGTTATTGAGATTTCCAAAAGGTTTTTGTGGATTTGTTTGTAGTGTTTGAAGTTGGACTGTGTACTGTGTTTTGTAAATGTGATAAAATGAGTGCGTTTCTTGTTTTATTCGATTCTGATATATTGAAATATTGTATCATGATACAAATCAGAAATTAGGTGGTTTAGATGGAATTATACTTCTGTCATTGATTTGGAAGCTAATGATTAAAATTCTGATTTCAACTAATGCTGACTGTGTGACAGTATTTTCATGACACGAAAATTCCTTAAATTAATAAATAATTGTGTAATGAATTCATAAATCGAATTAATTTTAATCGCATTCTTTAAGACACCTGTTGATTAGATACGAGATAATATCAATCGGTTAACGTTGATTAATTTCGACGGTATGACAATTTAGAATGTTTAATGTAAAAAGAATGTAAATATAAAAAATTTTCCTGAGAATTATTTCAACTTGGACGATATCGAAAGCGTTGAAACGAGCTCTTGACGAGACCAACAGACGAACAATAATTTATCGACAGACAGTAGCTGGTAAATAAGAGACTCGTGGCCAAATAAAGGAAGATCAAAGACGAGACAGCTCGGAACTACCTCGAGGGTCGACGGCCTCGCGATCGACGAAAAGCGAAGAGCAACGTCTGTCGCTGAAAATATCGTAGCTGCGTTTTCGCGTCTGCTCTAAAATTGCTAGCGAAACAGGAACCCATTCCAATCCAAACAGTAAAGAATTTCGATTGAAATTTTTCGTAAGAAACAGAAAATAATTATTTATCAAAATGAAATGAAATTTGAAAACCGTAGCACTATAATTGATCTCCATTTTAACCAAGGCGTTAATATCGCGAAAATTCAGATAGGTAAATCACGATGAATCGAGTTAGGGAATATTTAAAGAGCCTCTGTCGATTTAAATCCCTCGGAGGCAAGCGAGCTGGAGCTACCTGGCTCTACCTGGAAACGTTGATCCCGTTTTCGGGGATCAGGCGGAGATACCTGAAGCAGGGCAGCTGGAATTCACGGCTGGTGCTTCCGCGTGCGAATAGAAACCCTCGAGGAGTATTGTGCCGAAAAAGGAACTCGGATAATTCGCTTCGATGATCGTTCAACAAAAATTGGGATTGAAATTCTATACATCGTTGTTCATCCTCCAAAATTCAATAATTTGAAAATTAATGAGACAATATTCCTCAATAAAATTATTAATAGACAAACTAGATCGTAGAGTCAGCATTGGTTGAAACGGTGATTGAAAAATTCTAAAAGAAACATTTTTATAGCCGCGTTATTTTTGAACAAATACTTTTAAACTTAATAAATTCGATATCATTCAACGAAACTTGGATTGCACAATATCGTCGAAAGAAGCGAGTTCCGCTTAATCGCACTGTCAACAAATTGCGATCGATCTGAAAAGAGAGAGTGGGGAAGTGAAATTTCCCATCGAACTGGCAATTCTTACCTAAAGCTGAAACTGTACGCTTCGAAGCGAGGAGGAGCGTGCGACGCAGTCTACCGATTACACTGCATCCTGACATTGGGTGAGCTTATCACGCTCACACGTGCGTGATAACGTTCGTACGCGTTGGTGGCGTACGTTCAGTGAGAAGAAACGCTTTTCACGCGAACGGTGAACTCTTCCATTTTATATTTCTTCCGTAGTTTTCGATCTAGACAAACGGTAAAGAATGAGGTGAAAGAATAAAGGGTGACGTTATTATCGAAATGGTGTGTATGAAATTCTAAAAATGGATAAACAAGTTGAGAAAGTATGAATTCACACGGAATGCATTTAGACTTTGCATCCTCGAGGAGGAGCAGGTCAAAGAACACAAAGTGACGAGGCGACGCGTTATTTTTCCCTGCTGGAATTTGTGGTCCCGGGCAACATCTGCTGTTGTTTCTCACGCATGTTCGCATGACCAGGAGAAAAATGTGCGTGAAACCGATGGAGGAGAACGAGGAGGACAAGGTTGTCAGCATGATCATCAACTACTTCACCGTCAGGGTAAATATACGTGTCAGGGGAGATTTCTTTCGCATAAGTGATGAGGGTGTTTGCCGTTATCGTGGAAAAATTGCTGAAGTTTATTGGCGACAAAGCTGTTATACAGGATCTTCGTTGCTAGATAGCAATAAAGAACGAGGAACGAAACATTCTTCCTGAAAAAGTATTAGGGTGTAATGTTAATAAAAACTCGTGGTTCTTTGTACGAAATATGCATATTTTATTTTTAAATTGAAATTCAAGAACATTTTTCATACAGAAGAATTTGCTTCACGTAGAAATATAATTGCACCTGGAGAAATTCAGCTTATGAGAAATGTTAATCTTCGGACGGCGGACCATGGAGAGTGACCCAGACTGCTAGGGTTAAAGCGGCAGCCATCCTTCTTTTTACAAATTCTTGGCAAATTTTCTCGATAATTCGATGATCCGTCGCATTGCCGAGCGTATTTCCCGCAAAACATTTGGAATCCTTCCGAGTTTCACTGGCATCCGACCAACTTGTCTTTATCCGATGACCCGAAACAGGCATGAACCTCGTTCAAAAGTCGAGGAAAGTGGAACGAAGGATTTAACGTTCGAGAAGCCGCCGTTTCAGCGATCTCGTTGAAAAATCTGCACCGAACAAAAGGAGAGACTGTTCCATCTCGTTCAGGGACGTGAAAGTATCATTGTTCTTACGGTGATACCGACGGTGATTTCAGCATAGAGCAATTTTTATAGATTTCTTCGTCGCTTCGAGTGAAGTTTTCCACAAAATTCGACAATTCGTAAATAATATTTTCACGAAGTATCACGGTAAACTTGCGTTTCATATACAAATATCCTTTCCATCCGTTCTAACTTTCTAGCAAGATGCATACCAGTTTCCCGTATCTACTCTTAGACCATTGACACAATTCCAGTTTCTATTTGAAAAAGAAATCGATCCTTTATTTTCACATTACTTAGGAATAGTTTTCGGGCCCAAGGATCAATTGGTACATCGTTGTACCGGATACGCGGGCTAAATGCTGCCGGTATCAAACACAGAGGAATACCTTTCACCTGAGCAATGTCACGAAAGATTCTCGATATCGCTCGTCGAGTCAGTCGATGATTTTCGCTCGTGCCGTAGACAGCTTTTGCTACTGAAATAATCTACCATTTAATCGATATCTTTTGCCCATTTTCGTCATTTAACAATTTTCTTTCGAATATCGCGAAAGATTTAGATTAATGTAGCGATACGAGGATTAATTAAAATTACATGAAATTGTTAATTGAAATGTGTTTTTATTTGGGAAGTGTTAATAAGTGTGAGTTATATATTTATTATAAATGTTACTAGGGTTATAAATAATATCTACTTTATAAATACATAAATTTGAAAATTGGAAATAAGAATTACTTCGAATTTTTAATTAGCTTTTCACAAATATAGATCTTGCTACATCTACGAGAAATTTACCAATTGCTATTGAAATGCTTCTCGCTATATACAGAAGTCGATCAGAGAGACGACAAAACGGTTCTTCAAGTCTGATCGGTAAGTGGTCTCAACGGCACGCGAAGCCGATTGTCGGAACTCGTTTAACTTTACGAGCAAAACACGTTTAATCATCGAGGAGGACAGATCGTACAGTTATATCGTACATCAAGTTAAAGTCACGTCACACGTCTCATTGCATCATCACTGGTCGATTAATCTTCGCGTAATTAATTTGACGAGGCGAGTGTTTGCGATCCGAAGGAATTGGATAACTTTGATTTATAGTCGATCACGGTTTAATATCATTTTTCCAATAAAACCGGAGAAACTTTACAATTAACTAAGAAAATCAAAAGAACCACAGATTAAATTGCGAAAGTAATAAATAATAATTTATTGTTTCACTTCTATTCGTTCCATTTAATCCTCGAATCATGGCGCGGACCATGCCGAGTTTCCTATTATTTTCATTTTCTAAATTTTCGAAACGCATCAACGGAGGACACGCATTACCCATCCACCTTTCGTCTGTCCGCAGAACTTCTTCTCGAAGAGGTCCTTCCGCTCGAATCCTTTGAAGAGGACGAAGAGCGTGACGAAGCTCGAGCGACAGAAGCAACGTGGTGCGGGTCTTCGTGGTTGTCGTTCGCACGAGTCCTTACTCTGTGGACAGGCGGTGACCTCGATGGACCTCGCTGCCGTGACACCATTGCATCCGAGCCTGCTCGGTAGACCTCACTGCTTCCAGGTGACACCCAGCACCGGTGGGCCCAAGTATTTCAGTTGCAGGACCCCTCACGAACGGGACCAGTGGTTACACAGGTTGGTACCGTTTCTCTTCTTGCTTCTTTCGCCTCTTTTTCCATCCGCCGACGAATCTTAACCGTGCTCGATGATCCACGTGTCGAGTCATCGCTTGCTACAGCTACCGGTGAACGGTACCGTTTTTGAATCTACTGTTGAATTTTGTTCAATCGTTTCGCGGTTTGAGAACAATTCACGGACGTCAATTCGTAATTTTAATTTATCGTCGATCGTAAGTACAGTTGCGTTTAAAAATACTTGTAGCTTAAGGAAATCGGTACAACCGGACGCGGAGCAGACACGACGTACGGATAATTCGCTGCAGATTTGGCTGCTCGAGGCTAAAGGCGTACCCGCGAAGAAGCGATATTTCTGCGAGGTCTGTCTAGACAGCACGTTGTACGCGCGAACCACCGCGAAGCTGAAGGCCGACCTTTGCTTCTGGGGTGAACACTTCGACTTCCATCATCTGCCCTCTGTCAACACTATTCAAGTGAACCTGTACAGGGAGGCTGATAGGAAGAAGAAGAGGGATAAAAATGTTCTGATCGGTGAGTTGATGAACGAAATGGCATTTATTTATTTATTTATTTAACAGCAAATTGATATAACGATAGGGTAACGTATACATTTATTCATTTCATACAGAATATTTTCTTAAAAATGTAGGAAACATAATATAATACATTTCATACAGAATAAAATATAATTATATTTCTATAGCTCAAATATTTCTTGTTCCCGATACAATTACAGTGGTACCTCGGTATACCATACGTCCAATTTGGAATACGTCCTGTTTGGACGTAAGAAATTTTGCTCGGTATACGACATAAACTTTTTGTGTGAATTTTGCGTCATTTTGAAATAATTATCTCAGAGGAAAAATTAGATTAATAATAATCAATTATATTCGGAGTTGATGTATTATTAACTGACTAATCATACAAATAAGGATATCATATAAGAAACTATAACCGCAAAACAGGAGGTAATAAAATTTATTCCATTTGGTTTGTTAATTTAGAATCTATCATTAGGTTACATTTATATTTTACAAATTAATTATGTTAAATAAACTAGTGAATATTTTTTATAAACTTCTAGAAAATTATTTAAATGCTGTTCATGACATAAACAGTGTTTAAATTATTTTACTACCCCATTAATGTAGATTTACTACCCCGAAGTCCAAACATCAGGAACGGATTAAGGTCATATACCGAGGTACCACTGTATATTTCTTACTTTTTCAGAAAAAGTTGCCCTATATAAAATAGAATTGAATTGCAATGAAATTATTCCAATATAGTAATAATTGTTTCGAAACTTGAATGGAATCGATCAGGAAATGTTTGAAATCTCATCTAGGTTCCGTCAGCATACCGGTGCAAAACGTCACGTCTCGTTACCTAACCGAGAAATGGTACCCGGTGGTTGGGGATAAGGGTCCACTGAAGGAGCCTCCAGCGTTAAGGGTGAAATGTCGCTTCCAATCCGTAGACATACTTCCGGTTCAGGTGTACCAGGAGTTTCTAGAGTACCTGAAGACGGACTACGCGTCTCTTTGCGAGAAATTGGAGCCGGTGATCGGCGTAAAAGCGAAAGAGGACATCGCCACGGCCTTGGTCGCTGTGATGCAACGCGAAAAGAAGGCGCCGCAGTTTCTCGCTGACTTGGTGATGATGGATATTCATAGAATAGGTATTTAAATGAATTTTCTTTTTGAAAGACGAAAGCTATCGAATATCAATCTCGATGAAATAAAATAAAATTCTAACCACATTTACCCTGGAAACCTTGAGATACATCCACAGTGGTCCTTGGCGATATCCAGGTTGAAATGAAAAATGAAGAAATCTGAAAAGTCTTAACCAAAAACCACGGTCCATCGAATATTAACGAGATGTATCGAATTTCAGACGACGAGAGGCTCACCTTTCGAGGAAATTCCTTAGCCACGAAGGCGATGGAGGCCTACCTGAAGTTGACGGGCGACAGGTACCTGCAGGAGACCTTGGGGGCGGTTGTGAGGGGTGCGGTCGAGGGTGGCGATTGCGAGGTGGACCCACTGAAGGTCGCCTCGGTGGCAGCCCTTCACAAACAACAACAGAATCTACGGAACGCGGTGGAACTTGCCTGGAGCAGGATACTATCCAGCCACGCTCACTTTCCTCTCGAATTACGCGAGTGCTTCCGTATATTCCGCGAGCGACTGGCTGACATGGGCCGAGAGGACATTGCTGACAATCTGATATCTGCGTCTATATTCCTGAGATTCCTTTGTCCCGCCATACTCAGCCCGTCTCTCTTCAACATTACTCACGGTAAGTCGAAATCTTCTGATACCATAGACGAGTTATCTCGTACACCGTAAAAGACCCAAAATTTTTGTATTATTTGTCTACTTTATTTACTTTATGATGCAGATTTAAAAAGACTTGAAAATAAATATTTATAGCTGTTCACATGTGAACTGCATATTATGCACGTTTTAAAGAGATAAGATAAGTTGATGCGGAAACGGCAGACTTTTATCGGCTGTGGTATTATATTAAATTCCGTCGTTAGATTGAAAGAAAATTCAGAGTGAAGTCAGATATTTATCAATTAGATGTGATCGAAGAATCCTGAAAGGAATCCGTATTTCTTTTTCAGAATATCCGAACGAAAAGGCAGCAAGGAATCTCACTCTCGTAGCGAAAACGCTCCAAACTCTCGCGAACTTCACGAGATTCCAAGGAAAAGAGAACTTCATGGAATTTATGAACGATTTCCTAGAGCGCGAAGCTCCGTCCATGAAGAATTTCCTGCAGATGATCAGCGTACGTATTCCTGTTCATCAACGACGTAGCTCGTTGACTTAGAAAGCTTGTCATTTGAATCGTCTGTTACAGAGCCCTCTGCCGAAAGATGCTCCGGCCAACAATTCCCTGGAATTCGATGGCTATATAGATCTTGGAAAGCAATTGTCTCTTCTTCACGCACTTTTGCGCGAAAGTTTAGTCACTATAACTTCGTCTTCGCCATCACTGCCTCCGTCAAGACTACCAGAGATCCTCGAGAGGATCTCCATAGCTCTAGATCAATCGGGTCCAAGTCCAGTGTCGGGCTCGCATCGTTATCCTAATCTTCAGAACAATATTTTCCGTTATAACGATCCAACGATCGCGAACAGCAACACGAATCTCTCGGTATCGGCCACGTCGACCCTCAGCAATCACAGTACTCTAAACGGTACCATCAGGGATAGTAACGAGGTGTTACAATCGAACACCCTGGGACACAATAGTTCTCGTAGCCCAAACGTCGCTAGAGCTGCCACACTTCCTCGCAACGCTTACATGCCGAACAATGGGAAGCTACAGCTTCAGATAACCACCGACGACTACCCTCTGGAGCCTCCAGCTTTCGTCTCGCGTTCACCTACGCCGATAGCGCGACAACACAGGGCGATCGGATCGAACAGGCCGGTTGCTGGATACAGATTAACAGCCAGTGCTAGTCTAGCGAACGTGAATCACTGCCAGGCACATCCCACCAGCCCGACCAGATCGGAAAGTCACAATAACCTGAAGGACTCCAACTACAACATCACGGTCCCTCAGAATAATCAGTCGAACAACTGTCCGGTTCTAACCCAGCACCAACAGCAGCAACAAAATCACAGACACAACATGGCTCGACTGCAGAACCTGGACATACACGACAGGGAGGACAATTACAATCACAACAACTACAACGTCTCGAGATCAGCTAGCAGGAATCATTGTAACAAGGAGGAGAACGCGAATCAGACCCAGCATCAGAATTACAACAACGTCTCGAAGACGACGGTGAACGCGAACGTGGTGGTTAATCCATCGCCGAATCTCACGCTGTCCATCAATCATCAGCCCAACAACAACTACAACAACAGCAAGACGAATAACACGACCGCCAACGGTAACCTCGACGAGCTGTCCGACCTGTTGAGGTACGCGGACGACGAAGTGTCCGAGTCTAAATCCCAGAAGGGATCGCAGATATCCATCTCTCAGCTAAGTAACGTTGCCTCGTCCGGTTATCAAAGTTTCGCCGCTTATAGCCAGAGCTCCAGCCCGGTGGATCTGAGCAGCAACAACGCGAACCCGCACATACTGAACGCAGCACCCTTGGCGTTCGCCAATCCCGTTTATCACATGGAATCGAACCATGGGAGAAACGGGAGGAGAGGTAGCAGTAGCTCGGAGGAGAGAGACGGCAGCGGTGGCGGTGTCGAGGGTGTCAGGGGTGTCGATCTGAGCCCCTCGCCTCCGCCGCAGAACAACGTAAGGAATCTGCAGAGGAACAACCATAATCAATGGAGGCAGAACAATCAGGCGCATAGGAATAACACGGAACAGAACCAGAACGTCTGCTGCACCAAGCTGAGGAGAAGATTGTCCCTGGACTCGACCAGGGATTTGTCCGATACCAGCGAAGAGGAAAGCTGCAACACAAGGAGGAGCAAGTCCAGAAGTCATCGAAGCATCGATCAGGTAGTTAATCTGTTTGATATTTAAATATACTTGCTTTTTCGATGTCGTCAAAATTCGATATTAACGTTTATAATAGAATATCGTTTAATTTGAAAGCAAGCGAACTAAGGTCTTTAATTCGAAACTTCCAGCAGCGATCAGGACAAGGAAACATACTTCCATCCAGACATGTATTGAACCAAAGAGGAACTTCTTACGATTCTCTATCATTTTTATTAATCCACCATAACTCTCAATGTATATAAATTCGTTGTAACTTTATTGTTGTTGTTGTGAATAACTAGTTCCTCTTTCTAAGAGAAATTCCTATGTCCTTTCTGATCTTTCACCTAACCATCTTTCTCTGTTTACGTGTTTTGTAACTAACAACGCCACGTCTCTTCGTGTTTCCAGTACGAAGTGGAAATCGAGAGGCTGCAGAGTAGCGTAGATCGACTGAGGGCCCGGTTAGGCGCCACTGAGGATACCGATATAGACGGCGTTGCACCGGATACCAAGATGAAGAGCATCATTTCCAGGTACTTAATCCTCATACACGCGACCACTAACCGACACATCGATTGAATTCTATTTGCCTGAGTGTGATCACCCCGCCATGACGACTACCACTTTTCTCTTGCGTTTCACTTCGAATCCCCCTCTTTCCGTGTTCATGAATCAATTCACCTCGATACTTTCTTTTTCTTCTTCTTCTTCTTCTTATTCTTCTACTACATCCTATCCTCGCCTATGTCGTGATTCTTGGTGAAAATGTGTTCTTTTGTTCGTTGGAAAGAAAAGAAGGTGTCCGTGGAGGGGTTATCGACTTCGACAACCCTCGAACACGGCCGTGATCGAACGTGATTGCGTTTACACGCACGATGGATCGTCAGGGTCTCGAAATGGAAGACAGAGTTGCGATAGAAGGGTGCTTACTAGGGGATGCTTCGGTGTGAAATGCTTTTATAAATGATTTTTCAGACGGGTATGAGATTGGAATATAAGAAACGATAGATGATTTATAATGACAACATTTTTTAGTTTTGATTCTGATTATAATAATTTAGGCTTCTGTTATTTAATCCTCGTATGGCTCGTCACCTCTACTTCTTGTGAAGATAATTTTCTTTCATTTTAATTTATTTCAGTTCATTTTATTTTAATTTAATTTGACTTTCCGAAGCGGTGAAAATTATTTTCTAAACGGTTTATCGTTCTTCGTACAGCTCTGTCTACCCGAGATCGATTATTATAATAACATGTAAATAAGGGAAAAAGGGAAAAGAAGAAAAGCGAACCAGATCGAAAGCGAGTAGCTCCCTACTTGGTTGTACAGCTATAAATTATCAATAAGTAACAGAATAGGGAGAATAAAAAATAAAAGGGCAAGGTGACCCACTGATCTTGTAACTCGAAACACGGTTACTGTATCTCGAAATAATGTATGTTTAATTGATTGTGTGTTCCTGTGCATTCTATCCGCTGCATTTGGTATACTCTGGCTTGATCTGGACCTTGGTGTAAGAGTCAATTATATTTCTAAGCTTCTTTACATTTTTACATCACGTATTTTAGCGTTTTTTAATCTCATATGTATATCTCTATTTTTACATACGTACGAGGAGTCCTGCAATGTGTAGTAGAAGTAGGAAGATACAAATCTGGGAAGAGTTTTTGTGAAATTAAAACAGGAAATTGCTGTTTGAAATAATATTTCTATATTTGAAGATATAAAATGTATCGATAACAATTTTGAATAAGTTAATTTTTCATTTATTTCATAATTGGCGATCTAGGAATCTTATTTCAAAAAATTTTTAATGAAGAATTTTATTATTTTCCAAATTATCGCTTGAAATAATACAATACAATCGTATATTGAAAATAATTATAAAATAAAATAATGTTGTTTCAGAGGTGTCCAGATCTGGGTAAATGTGGATTTTGCATGAGAAGATAAATCGAAAGTATAAAATAAAAATTATTATTATATGTGACGTTATTTTTAAGAAAATTGAATTTGAAAATTCTTTATATATCAATAACAAATTCTTTATTTAATTATATCACGAATATTTTGAAGAACTTTCAATTTCAGTTTTCCAGAAAATAAAACTTCGTATAAAAAGCTTTGTTTCATATTTTCCATTTATTTTTCCATGCAGAACCATCGATTTCCTGTTTGCACTACATTATTACAGGACACCCTGTATATTATATATCGTGTTCTTTCTTGATTTGCGCGACAATAAAACACGCGCCAAAACGTTCATTCGCGTTCGCGTGTCGATGATTAGAATCTGTTATATTTCACTCACAAATCAGTTGTATATCTATTCTGAACCAGTGCTCGACTAACCAGCATTATTTACCCTGCGTGTGTATACTTACATCACCGTCCAATAGAAGAAACATTCTCTCGGTCGGCCACATATCAGTACTCCACCGACAATAATTAACACCCCCCGACAATTTTCACATACACGTTCATTCTCTGTTCACGTGTGCACGGGTTACTCTGCAAACCACTGTTTTTCTTTCTTTTTTTTTTCATTTTGTGTGTCAGGTCTGTGTAGAGTGTTGCAGCGATATTCAGGAAACGTTCAGGATAATTATCACACCTGTCGTTCGATTTTAATAAAATTTTTAATATAAAATTTCTTCTGCACGACAAATCATCTATAGGCAATTTAGATTGCTTAAAATTGTCTGCATTCGAGATGAATGAAATTGTTTATATTTTTCTGAAGAAAAAGAAATTTTATAGAATTAGGAGAGACCGAACGTTTTTGATACTCGAGCCTTCTAAATCATAGAATAATTTAATTTATCTTATCCTGAACGTTTCTGCAATGACTAAATCATTCACAATCACACGAAGCAGAAGCAAAACTCGCCCGCTTCTTTGATCGAGAACGAACGCCACCCCAGCCCATTGCATTTCTTAATCGTTCTTTATTTTTAATTAATTAGTTCCTCCAAGCGTATGTGACATATTGCACCAAACACAGCTGCTTCCTTTAACTTTCATTTTCAAAATACATTGGTGTTCTTTTCTTCGGTATTATGCATCGTGGTGCGCTTGGATCCTCTTGAAAGTCTCCCAGTGAAATCTCTCTCAAACTTGTACATCAACAAAATGAAAATCTCAAAGACATTCCAGAGCAAGTCTGAAGAGATTTCACGAGTGGAGCTGAATTCCATGTGTGCTGAAGAGTCGTCGAAACAGTCTTTGTCTTCCTCTAATATTCCAAGAGTGATTCTATTCAAATGAAACAGAGACTGTTTCGCGACTAAAGGGGATAAAATTTTAACCCTTTCGATAGGAAGAACCGTGAATCACAGAATGTCTAATCGATTCTAGGTTAATCTCTGTGGAGGAGGAGCTACGACGAGAGCAGCAGAAGATGTCCGCTGCGTTGTCGTACAAGCAGCGCGTGATCGACGCGCAGGAGCAGCAAATAGCCGCTTTGGACGCGGCCAACTCGCGTCTGATGACGTCCAACACAAGACTGTTGTCCGCGTTGAGCACCCTGAAGCAACGCTACAACGCGAAGAGCCAGTCGAGCAGTGAGGCAGCCGCGTTGTTGCAGAACATCGCCGACATAGGCGAGCTGAAGAGTTCGTCCTGTTAAAGAGACCGCGGACCTCGAGCAGCCACCTGTCTCGCATTTCAAAGATACTTGCGAAGGATCCCCGAGTCTCGCAACTGGACTCGATCCGGACAAGATTTCACTAGGAGGAACGTGTTCCCTTGAACGAGAAGCAGATCGAGATCATCCTCTGCTCGTCAAGGAACGTAGATCGTTCTACGGTAGACGCAATCCGTATCTCGGTCGGGCGGGATACGATTGAATTATAAAGAGAAACCGAGTGAAAGAGAGAGAGAGAGCGCGAGTGAAAGGCGTGCGAAAATAGAGGCTACTTAGTGAATAGGCAAACGGTTTAAGTAGATGATTTAATGTGACACCATAGCGTTAGGATTATTTCTACCGTTCGTATTCGAGGTCTCGCGTCGTTCACGATCGAAGCAAACTCTCTGTCGAGGGTGCCGGCTTGTTTTGATTGCGAACACGATGGTTTAGAGATTTCTTCAGGCAGCTTTCCTTCGTTCGACGAGAACGAGACGGAAAGTCGAGGTCCTAGGAAGATGGAAGAAGGGATCGATGCTTACTTTCTTATGGATTTGGGAGGATGAAAGGGTGAACGACGTCTTATTTCGTTTGTTCTGTTATTCAGCGTTGCGTATGCACACTTGTGTGTAATTTAGGCTTCTTTTAATTGGGGATGGTGGGAATGATTAGGCTCTCCCCAAGCTCGGTTCTTATGTTTATCTTCAGTTAGAAGAAGTCTACATTCCACTGGAGTGTAACGTATGGCACAGTTTATATCTTAGTATCTAGCAAGGTGTTGAAAAGTTACGCTGTCGGTCATAATTTTCAGATCACTTAGTTCACGAATTGCAAAACCCGGTCAGTCGTAATCCAGACATTTTGAATTAAAATAATAAAATTGTCCTGTTATTAAATACAAACTTCCGGAATTGTATACTTAATATAATTAGTGCTCGTTTCTCAAGAGCTTAGAAAATATATATAGGCAATCTAAAGTGAAATAAAATCCTATGTCCTTTTTAATTAATTTAATTGAATAAAAATGTAATTTTAAAAAGTGATCTTTAAATTTTGACTGGTAGCGTATATTACATGATAAGTCTGAGGTTCTGTCACAATATTTAAAGATATGTTTTATACATTGGAAAGGTGTTAACGAAACTTAAAACTATTTTGAATCTCGTATTTTTAAAATTAATATGATCGATGATTTGATAATGCAGAAACAATTTATGAAGAATAATTATAAAATACATACAGCGCCTCTAAGTATGTATTATTTAAATAACAAAATACTCTTTGAGGTAACAGGCTATAAATTAAGAAATAATTTCTTAATGTTCTTGACAAAAATAAATCAATTGGACTGCGGATGTTCATGCTGTGTAAAATATATCTTAAACGTGTGTTAAATACAGTAAAGTATAATGAAATGTTTAGCAGGTACGAAATGTATGAAATTTGCAAAATAAAATAATACTCTTCAGCACCTTACGTGGAAGAAAATATATGTAGATTTGCATAAATATCCGCAGTCTAAAGATAACGTTCGCTAGATCCGCAGCATTCATTTTAAAAGTGTTTCATTCTCAAAGGGTAAAATCCGTCGAATCTCAAAAATAAATGATCTTAGAATCACAATATTAATTTACAGAAAATTATGACAGAATCTCATAGGAACTCTGTCAATGGTATCGTCATCCACAGACGAATAAGCAACATCCTCGAGCACCGAGTCGTACTTCATGACCTTGTACATGCGTGTATATTTTTCTAGTTTACATGTTAAATCGTTGTATTCGAGAGCCGTTCGTTTACTCGCGCGAGAAAGCTTCCATCGATGCGGTTTCAAAGAAAGATCGAGCTCGCATTAGGAAGTGAACGTGCCTCCTTTGGGAAGCTTCGATTCGAGCACCGATTCTTATTCTAAGCGACAATATTTATTTCGTAGTTTCTACCAAAGATGAAGAGGTTTTCGTTGTAAAAAGAGAGATTTCTGTGTAAGATAGTTTCGTTATCGTATCTGCGATGATCGGAGGAAGAAGGATCGATTTCTCATTAAGAAATCGATGGTACTTCTTCTCTTCGAATTTACGTTTTTCGTATTTCAAACGTTGCACACAACGACGCGCGTCGGCAATTAGACATTCGTTTGTTCGCAATCGTTTTCGTGTATTATGGTTTTACATCACAGAGAAAACAATGATATGTTATCGTAGCCATTGTGTAGTGAGATGCACCCATGTAAAATCGTGAATGAAAGAGAGTGTGTGTGGTGTGTGTGTGTGTGTGAAAAGAAAAACGCATGCGAGAAGAAGAACACAATTCAGGCTAATCTTATTAAGGAAACAAAAAAAAAATAAGAAAAGTATTATCTCGTCGACTTGTATCATAGTTCATTATCGAACGTGAGAGCGTTTTTATTTTCTCGCCTTCCGTCGATTATTTTTGTATAGAAATATCTATCGTCACTGTGTTACTTTTGTCCCTCCCTATCAAAATATTCCCTGTTCTTGTAATCCTCGGTTTTGTACTTTCTGTAACGCAATCTTTTGTAGAGACATCGATCTGTTTTCACAAACTATTTTCAATTGTCTATCGTTCAAATCACGAAATTAATATATATTTAACGGTACATTATCATCATCATCATCATTATCCTATTCCTCACTCCTTGTTGGACGATATAATCGATGATAATCTACATATTTAAAAGTGACTCGAATAGCGTGTACATTGCTAAGTGTTTTGGTATATTCGTTTCTGCAATACATCATCTGTATTTAAGCGTATAGCATCTATTAGTAACAGTACATGAGCAAATAAATATGATTAGACATATTACGGTGATTATTATTTAATTTCTTTTCATTCCCTTATTTTTCAGCGTGAAAAAAATTCTAATCATTAAGAATTACAATAGTTATTTTTCAGATAATAAACTTCAAGCTTTTAATTTGTTCCCTGTTCAACATAATACATTTCTATTGTTTTCTTTTAATATTCTAATAACTACATATAATCAATGACTACAGATACAAGAAGACTGGAGATGCCTTTGTTCACGAAAGGTCTATCGGGGGTCCTAGACACCCCGAGGCGCAGTTAGGACCGTACATACAGCCCTAATTGCACCTCGGGGTGTCTAGAACGCCAGATGGATGTATGTATGTAAGTACCTACACTGAGTTGCATTGAACTTGTCGCAGTGAAGTTGGCCACGCATTCACTCACCGACGCGGCGTGAATGCGTTACTGAAGTTGGCTACAAATTCACTGCGACAAGTTTAATGCAACTCAATGTACATACAGGGTCTACCATTTATCTCGCAACCCATGCGCGCGCAAATTGATGAAAATGGCAACAGCGCAAGAATTCTAGAGATGTAAAAATCCGTACAGTTAAGTTGGTAATTGATTCGGGATACGAGTACACCGAGTTTCATCGAACTTGTTGCGGCGTGTGAAACTATATTCACGCCAGAGAGCCGATTGGCGAGGGGCACGCGAAGGAGGGATTGCAGCCAATTGACTGCCGTCGTGAATATGTGTTAGAGTCACACGCCGCGACAAGATCGATGAAACCCGATGTACTTGTATCCTGAATCGAATCTCGGACCACAGTTCAGTTGATTACCAACTTAACTGTACGGTTTTTACATCTCTCGAATTTTAACGCTGTTGCCATTTTCATCAATTTGCGCGCGCATGGGTTGCGAGATAAATGGTAGACCCTGTACATACATACTTAAACTTGATGTCACGTGAGTCCACATTTAAAACAAATTGGAATTAATTTTATGAATATTCATTCTTCCAAAAGTCTTTAAACCCAAAGGACGTGTATATCATTATATTAATAACTTCAAATATATTATTACAATTTAAACGCAATTCATTCAATTTAAATGTGGGATAAGCCCCCATATAATCGAGTGCACCAGTGCCATCTATCGGACGGCAATGAAATCTCCGTGACAACTTACCGACTGCCCAAAGGCGTGTCGATAAGTCGGCAAACTACCGATTGCCGAAAAGTGCGTCGATAAGTTGGCGAATTACCGACTGCCGGAGTATTCACAGATAAGTCAAAACCAGTAGCTACAAAGATACAGGAAGGCTGGATATGACCCTGTTCTCGAGGAAGAATGATTTGGGGTCCCAGACACCCCAAGCCACAGATGGGTATGGACGTACAAACACCAACAGACTAGTGGAAAGACACAATTTTGACTCCCTCTGACTCTATTATAAACTAATTAAAACTAGTACCAGATCGAAATATTATTAAAATAATTGCAAGACGAACTTGTATTCACTTCACGCGCTTTGGTAAATAAATCATTTTAAAAAAGCATCTGAGTTATTTACTAAATGTACATAATTCCTTTCCTCAGTTATTTATTTAATTGACTTAAATTTTCCTCTTATTTTATTTATTCGATGTACTTAACTTTTTTTCTCAGTTATTTATATATAGAACATTCAATAACTGTTTGATCTTTAATGAATTATAAACATAGTATACATAAAAATTAAACTTAAAACACAGTAATTATTTCTCAATATAAGATGCTTGACCTGGAACGAGGTGCGACCTCCTCAGTCCTATACCGACAGCCGAGGGGTGCGGATCAACTTGTCAAACATACATATACCTCTAATTTCCTATCGGAGTTTATTCAATTCACTTTATTTTCTTTGCTTATTAAATAAGCTCATTAGAGGGGAAAAGCATTTATGATTTTATCTCTCTTTTGGGTCTCGGGCCACCCCTTTTATTTCACTTTTTCCAGTTATTTATTATTTTATCCCTCTTTATAGGCCAAAGCCCACCCTCTTCAATTATTAATTATTTTATCTTTCTTTATGGGCCAAAATCCATGTAGGTGGCACAGAGCGCCACCAGTGCTTCGGGGTGTCTGACACCCCAAGATGAAAGCAGGCCCGTAGGTAGAGGGTACAACCAGTTTAATAATCGCCCTCTAATTTCTTTCCGGAGTTTATTTAATTTACCTTATTCATTTTCTTTGCTTATTACATAAGTTCATCAAAGGAGAAAGTATTTATGATTTTATCCCTCTTTTGGGTCACGGCCGACCATTCCTTTTGTTTCACTTTTTCCAGTTATTTATTATTTTATCCCTCTTTATAGGCCAAAGCCAACTCTTTTTAGTTATTAATTATTTTATTCTTCGTTATGAACCAAAAGCCACGCTTCCTAACCACTCATTATTCTACTCCTCTGTATGGACCAAGACCTCCCTTCGCAGATATTTATTTCTTCATTACTTTTATGAAGCTCGCGGAGACTACCACTAAATCACCGTATCATCATATCCCTTGTATCCCTATATCCTTATAACACTGCATCCGTCACATCGCTGTCTCCTTTACTTCTCCGCATCCTTTACATCGCTGCCTCCCTTACATCTCAGCATTCTTTACATCCCTGCATTTCTTACATACATACCTGCATCCTATACATCTCGGCATTCCTTACACCCCTGCATCCCTTATATGCCTGTATCTTTTAATTTGAAAAATTTAGTTCAAATCTTGTCCACCAGAGGGCGCTAAATTTATTCGTACTTTAGTTCCCTTTTGCGCCAATAGAGGGCGCTGTTTTTCGGGAAAAATTTAGTTCAAATTTTGTCCGCTACAGAGCGCTAAATTTATTCGTACTTTAGTTCCATTTTGCGCCACTAGGGGGCGCTGTTTGTTCGGGAAAAATTTACTTCAAATTTTGTCAGCCAGGGGGCGCTAAATTTATTCGTGCTTTAGTTCCTTTTATCGCCACTAGAAGGCGCTGTTTTTCGGGAAAAATTTAGTTCAAATTTTGTCCGCCAGGGGGTGCTAAATTTATTCGTACTTTAGTTTTTTTTTCACCACTAGGGGCGCTGTTACGAACGTCGGAAGCGTCATGTCAAGGATGTAAGCGATAAAGAGGTGTAAGACACCGCAGAATGTAGGGAATAGAGTGATTTGTGGGATGCAAGGCTATAAGTGAAGCCGGGATGTAAGAGGAACAGACATTTAAGGGATAGGGAGATGTAAAGGATTGATGGGTGTAAGGGATATAATGGTGTAAAGGATAGATGTTGTAAGGGATAAATGGTGTAAGGCTTACGGGGATGTGAGGGACGCAGGGATGTAAGGGTGACAGTGGTGTAAATCATGCAAGGATATAAAGAAAGCAGGGATGTAAAGGATGTAGTGATGTAAGGAATACAGGGATGTAACGAAAGCAGAGATGTAAGGAATGCAGTGATGTAAGGGATGCAGGGATGTAAGGAATGCAGGGATGTAAGGAGTACTGAGATATGTAAGGGATGGAGGCATGTAAGGAAAGTAGGGATGTAAAGAATGCACACGGGTGTAATAAAATCAACACGTTCATTCTCCTAATGAGTTTATTCAATAAGTTAAGAAGATAAATCCAGCAAATTAAATGAACGCAGAAAATAAAATATAGATACATTATGTTCAGCAGGTAGATCTGCACCGCTCGGCGGTCGCTATAAGACTGATGCTGTTTCACTTCGCTCTAGGTCGAACGGTTGATAACGTTGCCGCAGCCAGCTACCTTTACTCGAATCAGTGGTTGTAAATTGTTTTTTTTTACGTGGGGAAATCTTGTATAAGACCCCCCACCGTCCTCTGGGGAAGGCGGCGGGGGAGTGTCAGATTCCTACTGACTAAAACTCCACGGTGACCTACTTGTTGAGGGGAGGTTCCAGGACCTTATACATATATACAATACATATATATATATGTATATTACACCCGAATCTCCGCTGCCTTTCACAACAGTTCTCTGTCTCTGGAGGACCTTGAACCGGCTCTCCCATATAGTCGACACCAGGGGTCGCACCCGGTGCCATCCCGGGGCGGCGTGCAATGGGGCCCCTGAGCCCCCACTTAGGACTCCTGTAGTCCACACACGATAACGCCTGTCCGATCGGAATATTTTAATTTAATTTAGTTTTGGTATAAATTTTACATATATTTAGATTACAATACGTATTTATAATAAATATGATTAATTGTGTATAATATGATTAAATGAAATCAAAGCCAAAATTGTAAAAAATGGTTAAAATTAATAAATGGAATTTTACAAAATAAATGTGTATAATTTTACGACATTTGAATAATGTTAGTGCTTTTACTGAATAATAAACCTAATTTATATTTCAAGTTTTCCAAATTCAGCTGCTGGAAGATCGATCGATGAGTTAACATACCGTTTCCGCTGCTTTTTAACAGACAGCGCCACTGGTCCACCAAGTTTCAGAAGCCCGCTCGGTAAAATGTCGAATAGTTTCCGTCGTTTTTAAACAGATGGTTGTAATGGTTAAATCTGAATCTACCTTTTATGGGAGACACACTTCAATTACAAAAATCTCTCTTAAAATTGAATTGATTAAGTGAGACAAATCGAAATTAGAGAATTGAAAAAGAAAATGTATCTATAAAATTTAATTTAAATTTGCAATAAAAATCCTATATGCTATATCGAGGAAACATAATGTTAATTGAAACTTGAATATAGAAAAAGGGATGTGTCGTTAGAATAATCTCAAAATTATTATTCATGAAGAAATATAAATCTTGTAGGATATCTGTGGAACCGTAGGTCCGTTTGCTTGGCCGGGTGCCACTGCGATAGATAGAAGGCTGTTACATCGTGTCCGAGAGAGAAACGAAGCGAAAATCGAATAGCGAAAGAAAGAAAGGGAAAAAAAGCGAAGTACATGCGAGGCGAGTAGCGAACCACGGATTAATGCGAGTTTCCACTCGGCGCGTACCCCATACCCATGTTTACACGAACATCACTTC